ATGTACCCTCTAGCCAAAAATCTCTCTTTCTCTCTCTCAAAAAAAAAAAAAAAATCAGGTTATTTGTTTTTTGGTATTGAATTCAATTACCCTTTTTAGAAACTCTTCTCCATTACGTGTCTGGGTGTCTTATTGGTATCTTCTTGAGACCCTAACAGGTGGGTAGGAGAGTCACTACTCTATAGGCAGAGCATGTCTAAAGTGATCCATGAGGGCTACAGGCGGGTCTTGTGGGCCAGTTCTGTTTCTGCTGAGTTTTCCTGAGCTGGAGGTTGACTCTGGGCTGGATTGCAGGAGTCAGTGAAGATAAGTTTGACCTTCTTTCCAGGTAAGGCCATGGACTTTTCCATCACCTCTTAGGTAGCCCCCCGCATCATTTGCTGCAGGAAAACCTGTTTGTCTTGGGAAGCCCACATTCTGGGCACACGTATTTGGTACCCAGATGGTGCCTGTATTTACAAAAGCCCGGCACACTGACAGGACCTGCAGACACATGGATAAATATTTTGCCTTTCTTCTTAGGCAATATTTGAGTCTTTCAAGTTTAATTGCTGTCAAAGGCAGGATGCTTGTGATCCCCAAGGCAAAGCAAACACTGCGGGCCTTTGGTGGGGCTGTTCTGTCTGCTTCCGGCAGGCTTCCTGTCACTTGGCTTCTTGCTCTTGCTGAGTGTCCAGCAGCCTCTCTTCTTGCTGGCCGGGTGGGTGGGGCTGTGAGAGTTGGCTCCAGACTGCCTGGAACCTGCGGCAACTTGTTGAGTTTGTGTTGAGACTGAGAGAATCTGACTTTAGCTAAGAAATCGGGTGCTTTTCTCAGACACAAGTGACAGTTACCAATCTGGCCATCCCTAGTGGAATCTGGTTTTATGCTCCAAGGCGGGCCTGGGAGTGTTTTGTTTGATCTTGAAATTGTCGTGTGTGGGGCTACTGCTAGCTTGCATGGCTCCTTTGCATAAATTAGACCAAGGCCACCCCTTAGGTAGGGACGGCCTCTCACTCCACCAGGGCTCAAGGCTTGGCAGAGGAGCAGCTGGATTTTAGCTCCCAGGTATGCCTAAGAGCTGCCCTTGTGCAGGGCACAACCTGCCAGCTGTACACGACCAAGGTGGTTGCTGATGATTTTCTTGTTCCAAACTTTGGACCTTTTATATCCTCCTCTCTGCTTTCATTTCTTCTTTGTTTTTGTTTTTTCCTTTTTTTTTTTTTTTGCATTGATCTAGTTGCCCCTTGGATTACATTTACCAGATAAAGCGAGACACTCTTTTGTGATCAGACGTGGTTCCTTGAACCTCACTATAATCAGTACGCCTCTCCTTACACGATTTAGAAAGGGAGGAGGTGTAGACTCACTGAGTTCAATGACTTCTTTTTATTCATTCCATTCTATTAATAATTTGCCTCAATTATTTCATTTTTTAAAGTGTAATTTTTTATTTCTTCAGAGGCAGAGGGGGGAGAGAGAGACCCCTAACAGGGTTATCACACCATAATACACCTCCAGCGTCAGCAGAGCACAACGTTTTTACTGTTCATAGCGCCGCCGCCTGGCTCTGCCTCAGTCATTTTCATTTCTTGCATATAATAAGAGCAGTTGGATTCTTTGCCCACTGTGCTCCTCCGAAGGACAGCTCACATTATTCATTCCTTTCTTCGAAGCACATGTTATTGGTGCTTACTTTGTGCTAGGGGCTGGGGAGATAAAGACGAATGAATAAGACAACATCCCTGCCCTTGAGAAACTCATAATCTGATGGGGGAGTGAGGCATGTAAACAGATAAATCACAGCCCATTGGCGTGCCTGCTGCCGTCAGGACAGTAGCACAGGGGAGTGTGGGGGAGAGGAGGAAGCAGCATCGGCTGACCGCTGACTTTTGGGTCCTGCTCTGGTTGCGAGGCAGGCTTTGCTGAGGAGCTGCCCTTATAGACACATTTTAGGATGAGCAGGAATTTACCGGGAGGGGAACCAGTGCAGTCATGAACAGATAATGCATATTTGGGATAAGGAGGGAAGGCTTACCTGGCAGGAGCCTAAAGTATGTGAGGGTCAGGGCCAAAGAGAAGCTGGAGCAGGTGCTGGGACTCTGTGCCTGAGGAGTGTGGGCCTTGTCCTATGTGTGGAAGAGGCCAATAGAGGCCCCTGAACAGGGAATTGACACAGTCACATTTTCCTCTCTGGAATACACACTAAGCGGGAGGGAGGCCTGCATAGTGGGGCTCATCTGGTCAGTCCTGGATTCTGATCCTGGCATGGCCACTTCCTGTTCAAGTCACTTAGTCTTCTGATCCCCCAGTTTCTTATTTGTAAAGTAGGGGTTATGATAATAATAATCCTTACTACAAAGAATAATCTCTACTTACTTGGGTTGCATTATAGATTAAATGAGACAGTATCCATAAAGTAGTTTCCCACTAAGGAGGACAAGTACAGAATCCATGAATGGGTCCAGGTACGTTGGGATTGCCAGTTCTGGACAGCCTCATCTGTTGACCCCAAGGTACCTTAGAAACACCTTCTCTGGGTATGCCATGACAGGGGTAAAGTCAGAAATGATTAGTCTACAAAGCACTAGGAAAGTCTCTCCTAGCCAGTAAGTCCTCAAAATCTTGTTTGTTGAGATAGGTCATATTTTAGGGTAAAGCCCTTTAGAGGGACAGAGAGGAGAGGCTGGACTTCAGGGACATATCTGAAGTATCACTGAGCTTGGTGGCCAGTTGGAGTGAGGAAGAAGGGGGCCGTTAGGGAGATGACTGTGGGATTTATGATGCTGTAGATTGGATGGGAGGCCATGCTATTTATCTTTTTTTTTTTTTTTTGGAGAGATTTTCACTGTAGGGCGCGTGCGCTCGCCAGACAGACAGAGAGAGACATAGAGACAGAAAACGAGAAATCACCCCCCAGGGGGGATGGTCACGCCGCAATCCCTTCTCCTCCATTCTCCTCTCGGGATCCTGGGCACGCATGCACACGCGCCCGGCGTGAGTTCCAAGCCACCGGGTCCGGGACATGAACCGCGGTTGACTACGTGGGAGTCCAGCGACATAGCCATTACGCTAACTGCTGGTTCCCAGGCCATGCTATTTAGAGAGTGTTGGGAATTAGAGCATGCAGGTCTGAGGTGTGAAGCCAAGTTGAGGAAGAGGAGACTGTCTGGTAGACTATTTTTTTCAAGAAATTTAGAAACTTACTGAAGAAGATAATAGGATAAAGGTATAAGGAGGAGATGTGGTCGGGAGAAGCTGGGGACATGTGAGAGGCTTTAGGATGTTTGTGGACTGTGGGGGGAAATGACACAGAGGAATTGCAAACTGAAGATTCAGGAAAAGAATGCATGCCATTTCTCAGAACTTTGCCTTTTGGACAGAGTCTGTCCCATTGGAAGAGTGTCTGCCAATAACTAGCGACTGGGCAGTTGTCCAGATATGATTTATAATAAGGCACGGGTTTCATGAGGCACTGTCTAAATTATTGCACTCCACCAAGTGCCAGGTTCCCTGCTGACAGTGGGCCAGGGGTCAAATAATTCAATCAGGTGCCACTGGTTATAAATTGAAAATCAGTGGGGTGCAAAATGGATTACCATCAAAATTCATTCAGGTGCAAAACCAAATTTCAAAACCCCTAACCTTTAAAAACTACTCTTTTCCTGATTTTTCATGATGCCCCGACTTTGAGTTTTAATATCCCCCAGATAAGCAAGCCCTCCATGGAGATGCCTGAAGGAGCCCAGAGGGAGGAAGGGAAGGGCTCTTAGTCATGCCTTACTTTCGGAATTCCTTTAGGAATTTGCAAACATGGTGGCTTCATGAATTAGTGCAGTGGCAATTCTGATTCTCTAAGGCAACTGTTGGGCTCTACCTGTGTTTCAGATTCAGCAGGCCTGGGGTTGGGCCTGAGAAATTGCATTTCTAGCAAGTTCTCAGGTGATCCTGATGCTGCTGGTCCTGGGACTACACCTTGAGCACCTCTACTCTAAGATTTGGAAACATTTTGGTAATTTGACAAGAAAAGCGTGTTTTGATTAATAACAACTTATTGTAGAGGTCTTATTGGTTCAGAAGTCAAGTCGGTTAAAGAGTTACTATTCTGTCCAAGAAACCCAACAAGAGGCTGGTTCGAGGAGATACAGTCTGATTTGTGCGCTTTATGTTCAGAGATGGGGTTGGGAGGAGGGAGGGAGCAAGGCAGGAAGTCTCCGTTGCTCACCATTCCAGAGGACTCTGTGAACTGAAAGCACAGATGACATCATTAAGGCTGAGCCTGCGCTCTCCTGGTTTCTGCGTGGAAACTGTTCATGTCTATCAATTCAAACTTTCTGTCTTGACTTGCAAGTTGCTTTTCTTAAGAAGGTTAGACAAACATAAATCCTACCTCCTTAGCAAGCTGCCAAAGACCTAAACTTGGCTCTTCCCACCTCTGCTTGATCCCAGAGATGTATTTTTTTCTGTATAACTCAGTGCCGTCTGATTGTTGTTTTCTCTCTTGCTCGTTACTCCTTCCCTCCTTCCTTCCTTCCTTCCTTCCTTCCTTCCTTCCTTCTTTCCTTCCTTCCTTTCTTTCTTTCTTTCTTTCTTTCTTTCTTTCTTTCTTTCTTTCTTTCTTTCTATTTATTTATTTATTTATTTTGCTTGCCAGAGAGAAACTGAGAGGGAAAGTGAGAAATCACCCCCTGGGGGGAAGACCATGCCACAATCCTGTCTCCATTCTCCCCCTGGGATTTTGGGTATGCACACACATTATCTGGTGTAATTTTCAAGCCTCCAGGTCTGGGATTCAAACTGTGGTTGCCCATGTGGGAGTCTAGTACTTTAACCACAATGCCACCTGCTGGCTCCCTCTCTTGCTCTTTCTGAGTTACAGTGTTATGCCTTGTATAACCATAGGTGTCCCTAGGCCCTATATGAAGGAAGATCCTTTCTCTAGGATGGAAAAATAGATCCCAGAACTGTTCCAGACATGGTTGCTCACCTCATTAACATTTAGTTTCTTATCCCTCTTTCAGGAGAAATTGAGCGATGCACATACATCAAATACCACTACTCCTCAGCAACCATCCCCAGGAACCTCACTTTCAATATCACGAAGACCATCCGTCAGGACGAGTGGCATGCCCTACGTAAGTACATCCCAGTGTCTTCAGCTGTGACTGTGCCGTGATGTCACCTCTGGAGGGCCTGGAGGTTTGCATGCCTCCATCTTGGATCTGTGGATATTCTCACAACATTGCAGTTCCTTACAGTGCCAGTATCTGTGGGCCAGAATTACCCTGGCTGGTTTCATTGCAGTACAGATTTGGGCAGTTTACTTCTAAAATTAAGATCCAAAATCAAAACTAAAACACAACTAATAGACAATGGTCTTATTTTACTACCCTAGTAGGCATTTAAGATTTCACCTACCCAATGGAACCAGCTCTTGAAATTTAACTCACGTCTCTAAGTTGCTTGGAATATTATCACAACCTGTTAGTCTCTCATGTTGACGTTTGTGAAGGGTGAGACCAGTTGGTAGTTGGAGATTCATATAGCACTGGGGATTTGCAACTGAGTGGATCACTAAGGATAGGATCTAGCCTCTAAATCAGGTATCTGTTTACCTGTAAATGACAGGCTTTGGGACCTAGGTTCACATGAAATTGCTCAGCACAGATCAGAATGTCTGCATCCATCGGTCAGGGAATTTCTTGGCCAGGATCCTCAGAGATTTAGATTATGAGGTGAGGTGACTTAATGAGCAGAGCTCATTGGCTATTTTTACCCTTCTGCTCTGTGGGGACACACTGCTGGTCTGTGGCAGCAGCTCGCTCCTCTTATGTTGGCTCGGTCCATCCTGCTGGCATGGTCTGACTCTCAGCAAGCTCCACGCTGTGACTGTGGCCCGTGCCGGTGCCTTCCTGTCCATCTTTTCTCACATGATGTCGTAAGGTTGAGGTTCATCTTGCCTTTATATGCAAAGGAAGTTCTTTTACTATTTCTTGGTACTAAGGACCCCTTCATTTCTAGGCCCTGAAGAAGGTGGCTCTTCAGGCTGAGAACATCTTTCTTTTCTTTGCTGTTGTCTTGTTATCTTTTGTGAGTACGGGGCCCACCAGATGTACTTCCCTTTATGATTTGGCCTTAATGAAACAACCACAGTTTGGAGTGGGAAAGGGGAAAGTGAGAGAAACAAATCAAATGAAACAAAACAAAACAAGCATGCATCAGTTTCAGGAAAAAAAAGTGTAACTGGTGTCCACATGATTGTTACTAAATATGCCTAGTCTGAACTGATAAAGCAGGGACCAGTGGGTGGCACAGCATTAACCAGATCATTGTACCCACAGGCTTTGCACATTACCAGAGACACCAACTAGCACACGGGAACCGAGAGCTGATGTTCACAGAACATTCCCCTGTGCTGGACAGCAAGCTGAGCATACCACATACTTATTTAATTTTAATATTACATTTGCCTTGGCAGTGCTAGGAATCAGGATTAATCATTTCTTTTTCAAAGTAAACACATAAAGACCCAAATAGAGACAGATAAGACAAGACTGCTTCTTTTTCACAGTGCATTGGAGTTAGTATAGTTACTTAATAGAGCCTAAAAGGATCATTTAAGATATTTAAGTCTCCTTGATTTACCATTTAAATCTAACTTGAGTTACAGGGATCATAATAGGATTCAGAATCTAAGAAGGAAGACGTTATTGACATAGCTTCAATTCAAATGAACTAAAATTATCCAAAGTTACCAGGTTTCAATATGCTGGGCACTTTATAGACACCAAAGCTACAGTGAACTCTTTTAAGAAGCTCAAGTCAGGGGTGGAGGAGGGTATGGGACAGACAAAGACATTCGTAAAGCAAATAATTACAAAGCAATGCAATCATTACAACATAGTAGAATTGCTCCAAGCAGTTAAGGTAGTGTGTGGAAAATTTTCAGCAAGAAGGATGATTATTTTAGTGTAAATTGCACTGAGACACCTCAAGAGAATCCTGTTAGAACTCTTTTGGTTGTATTACAGATACCTGGAAATCAAAGAGGTTACCCACTGAGGTGTCATTGAAAATATGTCATGTGACATCAGCAATGACAGAGAGGAGAGGCTAAGGCCCAGGTGTGTGAGGTCTTCTTTTTGTCCTTTTTGGCTCCAGGGTCCTCATTCCCAAACCATAGAGTGCTGTTGCATTCTGCACAGTCTATTGTGCGCTTATGCTGTGAACTGGGTGCTAACAGATCTATTTTTAACTCCTAAAAGCCACCTCGGCGACTGATGTCTGTAAGGTCTCGGGCACACGGTGTTGGGTGAAGTTGAGGCTGTCCTTCGGTGGGGATTTATCTGCCCCTTCCACAAAGTCGCCTAATGGGCTATTAGGCATGCAGAGAGTGTTTGCCATTTCTGACATCTATGACAGCTATTTTTAGCCCGAGGGCAGGTGAGCATCTGTCACAACCGAAGTTGGTACTAAGTGTGATTGGGAACGCCAGCGTAATGCTGAAGCCCAGCAAGTGTCCATTTTAATTTTCAACGGTCAGACGTTGATGGCATGAAGTGGGACGTGGGGACATCAGCCCCCTGAGAAAGAGAGCGGAAACTATTAAAGATGAGCAAATTCCCATGAAGTGGGACGTGGGGACATCAGCCCCCTTTGAAAGAGCGGAAACTATTAAAGATGAGCAAATTCTCATGATCAAATGTTGGAAATGAAAAAAAAAATCAAACTCTGATTTCTTGATTTCATTTTAGAGTCCTTTATCTCTAATATTCGATGTGGGATCAAACGAATTCATATAATACTAATTTAGCCATACAAATATCTTACATTCTGTCATTCTTTTCTCATTCTATAGTTTTTGTCAAAGAAAAGAAATTAATTTTTTTTTGAAACAACTTTTGGCAAATATTTGGACTTCGGTTCAACCCAGATTATCTACCTGTCTTCAGGCATTTGCATGTGGTCTTATTGATGTGGCAAAAACAATTTTCAGAGAGGAAAAAAGCTCAGTTTGGTTTAAAGCCACATTGTGGTTTCTGGAAAGTTAACCTCACTGATGGGAAACTTAATGCTGGTCTTTGGGCTCATTCTCCTCCTGGTCAGGTGAAGAGAGGTTGAAAGAATAAAATGATGTGCAGGCCACTAGGCTTCAAATTTAACTGTAAAGAGATACGAGACTCAGGAGGGAGTACAGGCCAGAGGACCAAGCCTGTGCATGCGTGTATTTAGGGGGCTGGGGCAGGGATGAGTGGTCTTCATGTGTCAGGTTCCAATGCTGAGCAGACCAGGTTCCCACTCTGGCTTGGATGGCCATGGCTGCTGAGGCACCAGGAGGCCTGTTTCTCCTTCCCACCCTGGGAGGAGGCAGACTCCTTCTGGATTGGCGTCCATATCTCCAGTGTACTCATGCCTGGGATCTTCTCATGCCTGGGGTCCACCCAGGGCAGCCCATCTGTCTTGCTACCCACTTCTCTTTATGTCTCAGTGACCCAGACCCTGGGCAGACAGTGGGAAGGTGAGTGAGAACCACATTTGTCCTGCCTCTGCACTCCTGATCAGGATCCTCCTGTCGCTTCTAGGGCTGGAGCAGAACCAGCGAGTGGCACTGGTCAGTTAGGAGGGGACAGGCAGCTATGGGAGATGAGCTTGCTAATGACACTGTCTGGGTCGGTCATCTGGTTTAATGTTCTGAATAAGACAGAATCGGATTGCTAGTGGTCAGTGGTGGCTTTCTGAATCGTGCTGCTTCCTCTTCTCACAGGATACATCCCCCCAGACTTTTTGGATCCCATAGTTCTGTCTGGGCTGGCAGCCACTTGTTTGCAGAGTTCTGTGTCCTTGCACAACCCTCAAGACCCCTGAGGCCACCCTGCATGGCTCTGCCTTGTTCTTCCTGCCTCTGGCGTCCCTTGGAGACACCCTTTAAGCCCAGCTGGTGGCTTGGACACTTGCCCTGGCAGGGCTGGGGAGATAGGAGTCTGGGTGACTCGAGGCAAGGACTGGGCACCAAGACAGGCTCTTGCAAAGAAAGGAAGCCAAGAGATCAGGGCCTGGGAAAACACTGCAGTTGAGAAGTAAGGGCTTCTGCAGGAAACAATGAGGACAGGATGGAGCCTGGCCTTGGGCCTCCCTGGTCAGGCCCCAGGAGGCTGGTTGGGGTTCGTTGGCATAGCCCGCCTGAGGTTGCAGGGCAAGGCCCACCAGAAGGAATGTGAGAGAAGGGTGACCTTTCCTTGCCCCTGTCTTCCTGGTCTGCTGGGCAGGAACTCCATGGACAGCTGAGACTAAAGTCTTCCCCGGGCCAGAGCCCTGGTTCAGAGGCACTGTGTCCACGTTTTTTTTCTTTTTTTTTTTTCATTCCACTTTGTGTTTTCAGCATGGAGGTTTAGCTCTGAGTCAGTTGCCCCCAGTAGTGAGAATCAAGGGGCTGGGACTTCACTTTCCTGCAATCCTATCCTCTCTGTTACCTTTCAAGAGGCAGAGAGCCAAGAAAGAGAGGTTTTTTTTGAAGCCTCCTTCTGTCAGGACTGAGAGTTCAACTAATGAGATCAGATGGTCACACGGCACATTTCCAGCTGGCCAGGGAGGGTGACATGGTTTCCTCTACCCGATTTCCCTGTTCCCCACCCCCAGTGACACACAACACAGGTTTATGCAGTGGCCCTGCAGCAGTGGCCTCCGGCGAACCAAGCACTGAATAGGAACACAGGTCGGGGAGTCCATGTCACAGGGGGCACAGAGCATTGGTTAAGGAGCTGTGCTGAAGCAGGGTGTGGGCAGTGCAGAGAAGGTCAATCCTGCTGGGAAGAGGAAGGGAGAAGAGAGAAAAGGAGGGTGGGCCCAGTGGGAGAGGGAGGGGTGGAGGGAGGGAGCCAGGCACAAGTGGAGACGGAGACTTCGTGAATGAGAAAGGGCATTTCAGTGGACACTCTACTAAGAGGAGCAAGAGGTCAAGCTCCAGAGTGGAATGACCCACTTGGCTCCCTGTTCCTTAAGGCCTTGAGTTCTCACCTTCACCTGCAGCTTTGCTCAGTATTGGGGGGGGGTGGCAACCCCACCCTAGGCTGGTGTGTGGTAAGCTCAGCTCGTCTGCTGCTCTTGTGTGGATCCTGGTACAGAGCTCTTACCTTAG